TTGAGCTGTAGCATTTGTTACTATAAAAGTGTGGTCAATATATTTAGGGTGTCACAGCTTGTGGAATCTGCTCTAGAGTTAACCAAAAGAAGGTGATCTGCTAGACAAAATTATTTTTATTCCCCTCCCCATTTTTTCAGAGCCTGACCAGACAGTCTGGCAATTGCTTTTCCATCTAGAGCTCTTGTAGCAGAAAATATTCCATTAACTTTCAAAGAAAGTAAAAATGCTAATTATTTAGAATAATCCTTTTGTTGGAAGTGGCTTCTGTTATCATTTTTCTTGTGTTAACAAAATGAGATGACTAGTAGAGATAGCAGCCTAAGCTAAACATGTTAACCCTTAAAGCAGCATATTTATAATTTGGGATGCTTCATAATGCTGTCAGCTGAGCAGCTCTTATCTGAAAGTAAAATATATTTCAGTCAAGTAAATTATATATTGAAATATTATATCTTTATAAGATCTTACTTAAAAAATGTAAAATTAATATTTTGTTAAAAAAATGTTGCAATGCATTACCTCAGTGGGGTCAGTTATGAAAAGTGAGGTGATTCAATGCAATCTTCTTTCCTCTTCCCCTCCCTTGAGCAAGCTTGGGATCCAAAGTGCATCAGTGCCATCAAATTACTCATGCCAAGATTACAGTACCTGGATAACCCAATATGGGATCCTTCGTATGTAAGCCACTCAGAAATCTCCATTATACATACTATAGCCTAATCACAGGCCATTATGTACTAGAAGTATAGCAGATACATACACATTTACTGCAGCCTGATGTCTGCAGAGTCAAAATCCCCAGATGATTAAAGATCTCAAGAAGCCCAATAGAAGTACAATAAAAAAAAATAAATTAAAAAAGCACCATCATTAGTAGTAGTAGTAATAATAATAATAATTAGATATAAACCTCAGATTTATTTTAGGGACCTGTTAAAATTGGCCAACTGAAAGTAGATTAAGTGATTCAGTGCTTTGGACAGTAATGATAGTGCTTCAGAGAAGGACAGCTATGGCAGAAGACGCTTGGAATCTTTGCAAGGTTCAGTTTAACAATATTTCTTTCTGTGATTCTTTTGTGTTATCTCACTACTTTGAATGCATTGCTGTTGGAAGATCATGATAGAAAAAAATGATGAAATGAAAAGGATAAATGATAAAAAAAATTATGTTGGGGGAAAATAACTTTATTGGTAAAGGCATCGTCTGCTGTTTGATGGAAGTATTTTGTACTCACTATGTAAGATTACCTGGGTTTATTGGGAAATAGACAGCAGAAATTCCAGGTGAGATGCTTCAATGAAAAAGGGGTTGAGATAAGGTACTTCTTTCTTTGGCTGTCTTTCCATTGATCACACTAAAAATACTAAAACAAATGATAACACTTTTCAGCTTCTTAGCATGCCAGGTTCCCTCATGGAAGACTAAAAGGACAAACTTGGCTAGAAATAGATTTCTAAGCAGTTCCCAGGCAGAGTGCTGGCAGCAAAGCTATTAGCAGATAGGAGTCTTTGCTCCAAAGGTGTCTGAAAGGAGCCCGATGACACCCAAATAAGAAAATAGACAAAATGAATTGATGGTTAGGTTTTAAAGAAACTATGACTCGCAGTAAATTAAAGGTTTTGGGAAATATACATATTTGAGGATGACAGTTTTGCATGTATTATTATAATTCATGATTGTAACTGCAAACTCTTATCTCCTACCTTATAAAATAATCAAAATGCATATTATAAATACATGGGTTTCCAATATCCATACAGAGAAAGTACAAGATACTTACATGTAAGTACACTGTAGTCACCTATATTTTTGCATAGTTTTTAGCATGTACTTTGTGCCACTTAACTCAAAGTATTACGTGGATAATTTCTGTTTCAAGCTTAATCACATAATTTGTTAGTAGCTAATTTATTGTTAGATAAGTGTTCACATTCATTATAAATTATTATCACTAATGATTAAGAAGATAAGGTTTAAGAACATTTTGGAGAAAACGAGTGTGACCATGATAATTCTTTGTAATTGCATGTTTTTTTTAATTGATTAGAATTGCCACTATTCAGTGGAATAATAAATGTAAGAGTTTTATGTTCCTCTTGGTAACACTTTATAATAAGTGGCACTAAATTACACTATAACTGCAATGTTACATGGAAGCACATGTAACATATGTGTTGATCAAAATGCCTAATGTATGTATGAATACATGGTAACCAATGCTTTTACAGTCAAACATTATATAAGCTCTTTTATTTTTTTTCCACTGAGAGATTTATCACAAATAGGTAGCCTACATTGGGAATAATTAACTCAAAGTCTCCAATTCACCGGAATAATTAGTAACATGATTTTTCCACATTTGTTTTTAATAACAGGAATTTCAGTGCAAGATGATTTGCCTTCCATATGTGTGAAAAACAGGTAAAAGTTCATCTCTGAGCCTTAGATCATATATTAAGTTCCAACAACTATTAGATTTGCAAACGGCATTCCAGAATGAGAGATAATGTACCCATATAACCTGAGATGCCATCTTCTATTTTTTTAAAAAATGAAGAATTATAACGTTTGCAAAAGAAAACAACAATAGTAATTAGTAATAACTTGATATGCTGGATTGATAACAAGAATACATTCTCAGTGACAACTGTCTTGTTCCATATTTTCATTAGTTGCTCCCTTGAGATTGTCATTATTTATACCTGTCTTATATGGTAAAGTAGGCAATTAAATCATTACCATAGAATTTTGGCATCTTACTCTAATACATTAATCTAAACATGGGATTCACAAAGTGGATTTAGATTTATATAACCCCCTTCTGTTACTAATAATTCTGATAAATTATACAAAGTGTTGAACACATGCATTTCTCTCTGGGTGGGTAAAGCTTATAAATGTGTGTCCCTCTTATTCATCCTATTACACTCAACATTCCATTTGGAAAGGGCCATCTTCCACCCTCTGACAGCTTATAAGACATTATCCAGGATAGTGTCTTCCAGGTACATTGGACTACAACTTCCATCACTCTGACAACATGACTGCTATGTATTAACCAGGGAATTGGTTAAGAAAAGAAGACTCGATATTGAAGCTTTAGGAATAACCAAGTACCTACGAGCAAATTGTCACTAGACTAAAATATCTTGGCAACAAAGATGGAGTCTACCACCTCTTTTCACTACCTGGCTTTTCCCATATTTTTCTGATCTGTACTGGTTGAAAAGGCACTGAAATAGGAAGCAGAATTATTTGGGATCTGCTCAAGTGCTAGTGCAAAATCAACACAATTCAAGGACACGGATAAAAATGAGGCAGCATTGCTAGAATTATAGCTCCAAGTATAAGAGATTTTACATGGTATAAGTAAACTCAATTGGGTTTCATACTGTAAAATCAAACAATAGTAAGAAAAAATGTCAGTATTGTTATTGAAAATATTCTGATATAATATTGCTATTTTGCCTAAAGCCAAAAATGGGACTGAATACATTAAAACAGAATTGAGTGGAGAAAGATTAATGGCCAAAATCATTATATTAAAGTCTGCTTCATTTATGGAATGTATCATTTTTAAAGAATAATTTTTATTCTGTTTCAAAAGCTTCCTTTGCTCTCAAATAAAAGTTTGAGAGCAGCTGATTTAACTGGGTGATAGAAAGTGATGATAGAAAGTGATGGTAAGTCAGAATTTTCCATTCTGGTGGACTTTCTCATTGCCTTTTGGCCTGCTGCACATCTCAAGGTGCAAGGAAAGATTTTTTTTTTAATCTACCGCAAGCAAAAGTTAACAGTCTAATTCCTATCTCTATTGCAAAATTCCAGTGTTTCCTGTATCCTACACTGACTAAACATTTTGAAATGCTTACATCGAAAGATGCCCAAAGATGTCTGGAAATCTTACTTCATGGGGATGAATAAGTGGATAATGTAGGAAGTATTTCTATATAATTTAAACAGAATTGAGAAAAATGTATAAATGTGTAAATATAACACACCAGTAGGCATATAATTTTAGTAAACATAATCCTAATGCAGCAAGGCGCCTCAACACATCTTTAAGTGCATTGCTGGCCTTTACCTTAGTTCTACAAATCAGTTTTTGAAAACATGACTATGTTATAAACCTATACTAGCTTCAATGTGCCTAGTATTTCTACCTGATTCTCTCAAATTACCATACTAGATTATCATATTATTGCATTTTTTCCACAGATTTTTGAATGAACTGTAAAAAACAAGCATGCAATCACATCAATGCAGACGTATTTCTTTAAAATATCATACTGTATATGATTTATTATGTTAACACTCAACCACATCATATTATTTATGTTCTGTATACTTTGTAAAAGTGCTGCTTGATTGATGGTCTCTCTCTCTCGCTCTTTTTTTTTTCCTCATTGAAATTAACAAAGTAATTTTTTCCTTCTAACAAAAACAATTTAAAAACTACTATTGTCCTTAAAAGGTGTATAGTCTTCGGATAAATAATCTGACACAATACCTTTGATTTCCATTGACTGTGACACATGATGCCATATTCAAATGTTACCCACCCTCCTTCCATTCCCCACACAAAAAATAAACCCCAGGAGTTAATTCTTTACATAGGCCATTATGCTTTTAGACTTCACCAGTAATAGTTTCTATATAGAAATGTATTCCTCTTTTTGTCTTTTTAAAAAAAGTGTACAGTGCTTTGGAGATGAACAACAATTTCTACTGTTTTAGTCAATTATGTTTACATGGAACCAGAAAGTAAGAGCTCATCTGGTTATTCTATTTTTTATTTTTTATTTTTTTTTTAATTTTTGGTCTGGAAGAGGAATTTTTATGTTGGATTAGACTCTTTAATTATTATTGTTTTAAGCTGTCATTTTGCCCCACGTGTTCAACATGATCTCAAAGAGAGGTCTCTACTGTGGAGCTAAAAGCATGGCAGATATTCTTGATCATTCACTGTGACATAAGTTTGTACCTCACAAAATGCATAGACAGAAATTTAATATAAAGGATTAGTCATTTACCATATACACAAAACACAGAGAGTTGTTGCTGTTGTAACATTTTCTGCTTGGGTTTGGCAAATCCAACATTGATAAGCAGCTCTGGAACTGCCAAATTATACGTATATTGAAAATTTTAGTAACTTAATCTTTAATCATTAATGTGGTTATAATTCAAAACCTGAGGCTGTGCACTGGTTGTTAGCTTAAAACTACCTTTCCATATAACATTGTGCTTCCATTGTATAACAAAGAGAAATTAACTGGAACTAGAAAAAATTGCTGCTGAACAGTGCTAGGACATACAGACAAAAAGTACTAATACATGTTATCTACTTAGAATATTAATTTAAGTTATATCTAAAGGGATATAATGGACATTAGAAAATGCTTACTTGTGACTGATTTACCTACAGCCCCAAAAGTTAAATATGTATCAAATAATGTTTAATTGGATTTATTATATGCACTATATACAGATATTAAAATGCCTTGCAGTTGTGCCCCATGAACATGTTCAATTTGAGTAGGCAGATAGACCCACGTGAAGCAAATAAATTAAAAGGAATACAAATTATAGAAATATATATGGAAGTCTTTATGATTCTAGGAGCAGTAAAAGAGCTGGACAACCATTTTCAAAATGGAGCTACATAATCCATCACTTTGGATTCTGTGTAGAAAAGAGTGTATGGTGTTGGTTACCACCCAGAAGTTGCTGTTAATACCAGTATTTCATTAAATAAAAGTTCTGTTCATACTCCTTTGCTGCCATTTGCAAACACACAAGAAATTATAGTAGAATGCTTTCATTAGTGTTTCTTAGGGCATAATGTTTCAATGCTCGGCTGATTTTGAATTACAGACAATATATAAAACATTCTTTGTAAACGTCTAATCTTACTTGTAATGGTTTATGTAAGTACAGTTAGGTCCTCACCTAAGAACATTTGCTATGAAAATGGTCTGATGCAATACAGGTAAGGACCATAATAAAAGAAAAGGAAACAAAAGGAACACTTTTTTTAAAATGTAGAAAAACCAAATATGAACAGATGATGATTAAAATTGTTAAGGCTGTATATTCAAGCACTGTATGTTAAAAGAGCAATGGATATGATGATTAGGCAATAAGAAATGTCCTGCATTATGAATGGTACCGTAATTAAAGAAAAAAAAATTATGTTCATGGCTGATTGTTGGTACAAACTGGCAACTGAGAGCAATTATGCACTTTAACAAGGGTAGAAAAAAGACAGGATAAATTAATTCAGAAATATGAGAGCCAGTTTTCTCCAAGAGTCAGCCTTGTGAGTAGTGGTGTTCAGAGAATCTAAGTCTGCATCTATATGAAATATTCTTTCTTCTCTTCTGCATTAACTTGGCTGCCTTCTGCATTGATAATGGCTGTGTCCGCATCAGGTGCATCTTCAGCTCCCTTAGCTTCATTTGTTAAATATGTTCCTGTAGGAAACAGTGTGATTAAAAGACAAATGTTAGAGATATAGGCACTTTTGATACTGCTTTTCAGATGGGATTTTCTAACAGAAAATTAATTGGTCTGGGTGAGGATCAGGTTGAAGTTCACATAAAATTTTATCATGAATTTTTCTAACATTCAACAGTGAGTCTTTCTACCATGAATCTGTATAGTAGGCATCATTTTTGTATTTGTCAAAGTAGTTATTGTGATACTATTGTATAGCCCTGTCATCATCATAACTGCCTATCAATTGCACAGAAAGGGTCTGTTGTATTGTAAGCTGTCAAACATTCATTAGCTTTGGGGAAAATGCCTTAATTAGTTTTTGATGCATTGTGATATAAAACACAGAACATTTTTCATCTTCTTCAATCAATCAATCGGCATGTCCTGCAATTTCAAAATGAGCACTTTTGAAGTTCTATCCCTTCAACAGAAAATGTTAATTGCACATAATGATTAATACATCATTTCTTAAAGCAGCTACACTTTAGCCATACTCTTATTGCCAATTTCATTGGGAATATTTTAGAAATATTTTAAATAAATATGTATGTAAAAATATCTACCTGTATTCTTGCTGCAACCTTGCTGTTTCATTCTGTTACACAGGCATAGCAACGGGTACTCTATGGATTTATTCGCTAGTTTAACAAATCTTGAATTCACTCAGTAACATATTTATTGTTGGTGATGTTTGAAACAAGTCAATTTTCATTTAATGGGAAAGTCTGCTTAGTTTAGAAATTGGAGCATGTGTGTTGTCCTCCCTAAAAATGGTAGAACTTACTGTAGGTGTCACATTTTGCACTAGTATTCTCATACAGCTTACATTTTTACTATGGAAGCCTGGTTAATTAAACTATTATCTGGAAGCTTATGTGAGTTATCTGAGCAAACGGCCTTTGAAAGCCTAGGCCAAGAGCTTCATTATCTTCCGTAATATTCCAAACACCCAATAAATCAGGGAATATTATTTAATAGGTGCTTATTCTAAAGGACATGGATATTCCTCCTTGCATCACAGATGGCAAGCAATATCTATTTGATAACATTTAATAGGCACTGGAATGTTCTTGAAAAAAAGACCTAGAAGCACAAGCTAAATATGTTTCTGATTTGCAAGCTGACATTTAATGCATACGTACAAATACAATCTTAACATGGGATGAAATTAGACATTACAGGGGATCTGTATATGCATGTAGCAAATCCATTCACATATAAGTAGAAGCACATGCCATTATTTAAATAGAGAAGAAAGAAGCTGTAATCACAATCCACTACTCCATCTACATACATCTTATTGTAATTAGTATCTTTAAGAATTTTTATCCCAGCTTTTGGACCAAGTTGACTGGGTACATTAAACGTACTAAGGTAAAAACAAACAAATCACACTATGGTTTGCTAAGATCTATGAATCTGAACCTGAACTAGAAGTTTTTCTATCATGCTTCATATCTCTTTCAACAAAACACACACATCTGTATGCCTATTGACCAGCCTTTGTCAAGGCTACTTTTATATTTACTATGGTAGTGAGCCACCTCTGAGAAGGGAATAGAGTGATAATAATGCTTTAGTATTTGTGACAGACACACTGTAATTCAGAAAGTTTAAAAATACATAGTAGTAACTCCTACTTGAAAAAAACTGAGTTTATTATTTTCTCTAATAGCTTTCCCTAATCTGCTGTCATCCAAATATATTAATTAATCTCTATCATCCTGCAGCAAACATGCCATTCTAGTTGTGGATGATGGAAATTATAGTGTAATACTTCTAGTTGGCACCACCTCAAAGAAGGCTGGTAGAGCTAATTAAGCTGAATTAGTTTTTCCAAGAAAATGATGTTAACTATGATAATCAATTACAACAAGCAGAGAACCCAACTAAAAACAATATCAACATTTTGTTTTGGAACCATTGCAGCAATTAAGGGAACTGACATCCCCACACCCCTGAAAAGGATGAGATTCTTGTTTCAGACTAGCTGTTTAAAGATGAAAAAATTATTTATAAACTTGTCTGATTTGCTTATTAAGAATTAAAAGCTGCATTCAATTTTTTTCTGATTGAACCTATGCACTTGTAAGTAAGTCTCACTGATTTAAATGGATTACTATCAGGGCACAAAAGCAATGTTGTCTTTATTACATTCATCTACTAAAAATGTTACATAAAATACACTAGACATCCATAATACAACTCTATACATATACTATCAAAAAAATAAGTAATGTAGCATTCAAATAAGCTTACTCTCAGGTAGCTATTTATGGGATATAATATTAATAGTCCCAAACCATATTTTGTGATCTATCTATCTCAATCTAGATCTAGAT